CCCCAAAACCCCAAAACCCCAAAACCCCAAAACCCCAAAACCCCGCCTTATAAGAATAACTTATCTATTAATAAAATAATTAGAAGTCTAATAAGAAATAATAATAATTTAATTTTGTTTTATATTCTAGTAGGTCAAATAAAACTATTAGAAGTTTCGGTCAATAATCAAATCCAAAAGTGTTTGCAAAGTCTTAGACATAACTAGTCTTTCCTTTAAACCCATTTCTTACCCTTATCTAATCAATGTCTTCTTCACTTTCAAATCTGTGGTTATTTTTCAATAACTCCGCTTTAAAGAAACTAGTTAGCTAATGGGCAAAAGTGACTGAATGTCTACTTTTGTCAGAATTGATATCGGGAGTAGGTTCGTAGACTACTTCTGGATGATATTAGAAAACGTAGATTGGATAGTTCTTAGCCTCTGCTGTTGACACTATTTCTTAATCCTCGAAAATATTAGTTGATAGGATGTGGAAAAAATCTGCAAGTTTTTCAAATCTTTCGTAATCCTTAACAGGAATGCCTCTATGATGCAAGTGATATAAAATGTCTCTCTATTGAATAGTATGCAAAACTTCACTAGTTAAAGATTGCAGCAATCTGCTAGAATTGAATAAGTGATGATTTATTTGAGTATTAGCTCTCTTATTTTCGTATTTTGACCACCCTAGAGCTTAGGTATTGTTGGCAACAATAATATGAAGAAGTTCTATTCCCTAGCAGATACCAATTATAGGATAGTAGTCTCCATTATCAGTTTAATTGAGGGCATAATGAAAAATTTTCTAAGATGTGATTGTATAAATGTGAAGTTCTCCTGTCTTTTCATCGTAAAGATCTACATCACCTCCTGTGAAAAACACCCCATTAATTTTTTACAATACTTCATAGAGATCCTTATCATTAATGTTGTAAGGGATGAATACTGAGTCTATGTCCTATTTACTCATGAATACTTCATTCATTTCAAAAATGTACTAAGTTTTACCGAGGTCTGTAAAAGATTCTTTCTAACCTGGAACTGTCACAATACCAATTACAGGTCTTTCCTATTAGAACTTTTCAAGTTTCAAAAATTATCTTGACGCACTTGAATATTCGCAAAGACCAAGAAAAAATGTCACCAGAAAGAAAGTGAACATTAAGTTACTCCTATGTACTAGATAATTCATCTAATTATTCTAGAATTTAATTATTTTCCCGTTATTAATACATATCCTAATGTTTATTTTTAACATTAATTATGGGGTTTTGGGGTTTTGGGGTTTTGGGG